CTACTAGATGGCTGCTTGTTAACTACAAGCCTTTAGGACCCCAGACATTATATCCTTTACTAGCCAGGCACAAGCGCTTTCTTCACCACACTTCTTATGCACCCATTTTGTCTTCAGCGATCACATCAGGAAGGTGAGCATCATACAGTGCCTCATTATTAGAGGAAACTGTTCTTATACTGACATAAGATTTAAGTAGAGGCTCAAAGTCCATCTGCTTCCTTGTTGCATTTGATTATATATATACATATGTAAGCAAACACACATATATTTACATATATTTATTATTTTTCCTACTTTCCTCTTTTTCTTTTTTTCCTTCTGCCCCACTAGCATATTTACCCATCGTTCACCTCTTGGTCATTTCAGCATTTTATTTTTGTTGTTGGGAAACATACCCAAGGTTAATTCTTGACATCCAGGGAATTCTAAGAAGAAATATTTAAATAAACAAAACAGATTATACATTTTAATGTACTGCTAACTAAATTACTCTACCAAAAAGTCACATCACTACCATTGAGTTGATTGTTATTCATAGGGCTCTTCTATGACAGGGTTGAACTGCCTGTATCGGATTCTCAGACTGTCTTTTTCATTTTTTGAGGACATAATCCATATATCATACAATTTAATTGTTCAATCATGTCAAGAACAATTGTACAATCACAACCACTATCAGTTTCAGAACATTTTCCTCCCTTCACCCCCCATGATTAAATCACCTTTAAAATCAGTTGTGTAATCACTCTGTTCTAGTGCTTCCTCCCTCTCCCACTTCCATTGTGTACTCCAGAAATCCCCTCACCTCCCCCACTCCGCCCCCACTCCCAACCTGTGTATCCCCTACAAACCATCGCATCAGTTATTATCTCCATGCATCCACTCCTTCTGTGTTTCATAAACTGGTAAACCCAACAAACAATACAGAACAAAAACAAAATCAAGTGGTAAGGACAAAAGCATAGTAATATAAAGATAAAGTGCCAACAATGAGTGAGCAAGAAAGAAAAGACCTCCATCAATATTTTAAAAGCCAGGGACCAAGCAAGAAATCTTAGCACCTAGAACAAATTCAGGTTGTGTCTAGAGGGAGGTCAACTGACCAAGTATCAAGGTTGATCCAGCATACAATGATTAGGATTACAATAATCTATGTTTGCTAATATGGCTTTTCCAGACCTCTGCCTGTGGCTAGAGTGGATCTTTGAGAAGCTTAAATTGACTATCTACTCTGCAGATGGGTGTTGGCCTCCCATGATGCTCTACAGCCTTCCACAAATTGTTCACGATTGTGGCTCTGATACGTTTCCCTTCCTCATATTTGAATTTTGTTAATATCATCTTTGAATCACACAAGCTGTGCATACAAGCCTTTGTAGACCCTGGCTCCTATTGGGATTGGTATCCAGGCACCATCTGTTCTCTTCACCACACTTTGCTGTAGCCCCCTTATCGTCAGTGATCATTTCATGAAGGCAAGTATGGAGCCAGGGCCATGTTATCAGAACAAACTGTTCTTGGATATGGGCTAGAGTTAAGTAACAATCCCCTCTTCTCTCCCCCCCCTTCCAAAAAAAAGTAGAAGCCCAGAGTCCATCTAAGCAGATGGCATGTGCATGAATGATGTTTATTTTGGCAGTCGTCTTATGACCAAATCGAACCCCGACAGGACCAACTACATCAGCACCAGCAAGAAACGAATCAGCCAAAAAAACAGAATAAAAATGAAACAAGGGAAAAGCAAGAAAACAAAACCACATATGAACAAAAACATTGTGAATAACCCCCCTGGCATATAAGGCACCAATGGTATGGATTTTCGCAATGACCCAGCCCCCTAACATAGCAATTTTAACTAAACTCTAGAGCCTCATCTTTCGCCCCTGTAGTGGCTAGTGGTTTTGAACTACTGACGGTGTGGTAGTGACCCACTACCCATCCAGAGCACTTTGCATCTGTGGGCATAATACCCAATCATATCCTATGTCATATATCCTGGGCTTCGTTTTGCTTTTTAAGTTTTGATCTTTTTAAACAGTACAAATAGCACAATAATAGATTTTCAGCTACCAACATGTAGCTTCAGCAGGCATCTATAATGGCATCTTGTCCCGGGAATATGATACAGTGTCAACTCAGAATATCCACTTTCCACTTCCCTGTTCCCTTCTGGCATCAGCTGCCCACCCAGGACCGCTTTCTCTGATTCTCAGCAACTCACTCTCACTGTCACTGAGTCTGTTTCCACTCACAGCACCCCTACGGGACAGAG